CCATCCTGTAAAATTGGTTTAAACCCCCCTGGGATTTTACCTTTTGAACGCCGGGCCAAAATTAATTTTTTTTTTTTTAAGGGGTTGGGATTTTGGGGCAGTAACAAAAGTTTTTGGATGGCCATAAGGATGGTCTGATTTAATCCTGTAAAGTTTTTGGGTTTGGGAACCCCAAAAAGTAGTTTTAAAAAGTAAAGGCCCGGCTTTTTTCTCTTTGGTTTTTTGGGGGCCCTTTTTTTGCAGCAAAATGAAAAAGTGCCCCCAAAGTGGCATACTTAGAGATTGTTTTTCCCCTCCCGTGAAGTTTTTGAAAACCCCCCCAAGGTTTTATTTGTTTAAACCCCAAGATTTTTTTTATTTTTACTCTGGGGGCCATTTTTTTGCAACAAGCAAAAATGGGAGGTTTCGGGTCACAACCAGGGATGGAATGAAACATTACAAACAAATTTTGTTAAAACCCCCCCATAAATTTTACCTTATGGGGTTTCTTAAATTTACTGTCAAATTTCCCGAAATTTTGGTTAAATCTTAAACCGAAATTTACCTGTAAAGCCGAACAAAAATTTTTTTTTAAGGGTCTGTCCAATTTTTGGGGAGCAAATCAAAAAGTGCGGGGGGCTTTTTCAATAAGGGAAATATTACCCCTCCTGCAAATTTGGTTTAATTTTATGTTTGACCGTGATGGTGGGCCAGAATTTTTTTATTTTTTTCTCTGGTGGCCTTTTTTTCAGCAAAACAAAAATCCCCGGGGTGTGCACCACTTGGGGATGAATTTCCCCGATCCTCTTTAAAAGTTTTTTGGGTTTAAAAACCCACTGAAGATTGGGCCCTTTAAAGCCCGGGGCAAAAGGTTTTTATTTTTATCTCTGGTTGGGAATTTTTGGGGCAGCGAAGGGAAAAATGCCCGGGGAAAAGGGGCACAAATAGGTATGGGTTTTGTCAATCCCGTTAATTTTTAAAAAAACCCCCCAGACGTTTTCGTCAAAAATTTTTTTTATTCTAAACTCTTGTTCCAATTTTTTTCCGCGAAACCCAAAAAGGCCCGGGCATTTACAAGAAATGGGGGCTGATCCTCCCATAAATTTGGGAAAAATTCCCCCCAGTTTTTTTGACAACTTTTAAATTTTTTGCTCTTGGGACCCTTTTTTAAGCAAGGGGAAAAATTCAAAGGGAGCGTTCACAAAATAGGGATGGTTACTTATCACTCCTGCAGAGTTTGGTTGAAATCACACCAGTAGTTTGACCTGTGAATGTTGCACACAATATTTTCATTTTTTGCTCTGGTGGCCATTTTGTGCATGGAAACAGAACGTTCCGGTGATGTTCACAACTAGGTATGATACTGATTACTCTCGTAAAATTTTGTTGAAATCCAACTTGAAGTTTAATATGTGAACGCCGGTCAGGATATTTTCTATTTTTAGCTCTGCGGCTATTTTGTGCAACGAAGTCAAATTGCCGGCAATGTGCAAAACAAGGAAAAGTATATATCACTCCTGAAATGTTTGGTTAAAATCCCTTCAGTAGTTTGACCTGTAAAGGCTGGACAATATTTTTATATTTTTAGCTTTGGCGTCCATTTTGGGCAAGGCGAAGCAAACGGTGCCGGTCATATCACAACACAGTATGGTAGTGATCAATCCTGTAAAAGTTTTCAATTTGATATACTACAGTAGTTTGACCTGTGAAAGCAGAACAATTGTTTTATATTTTTTTGCTCTGGCGCTTCCATTTTGCTGCAGCGAAGCGAAACATGCCCGTGGTGGAGCACTACTAGGAGGTAGTACTGATCACTTCTGTTAGTTTTGGGTTGAAATCCAACCAATTTTGTTTGACTCTGTGAAAAATAGACAGGATTTTTTTCAATTTTGAGCTATGGCGGCCCGTTTGTGCAGCGAAGGGAACCTGGCAGAATTGCGTTCAACGAACAAGGTGTGTTACTGATCTCCTCGTAAAGTTTATTGAAATCCAACCATAGCTTTTTTCGGCGAAAGCTGGACAAAATTGTTTCAGATTTGTAGCTCCTGGCTGCCATTTCTGAAAAATTTTGGGGGTGTGCCAACTTTAAAATGGGAAATATCCATCCTGTTTATTTCTTTTTATTCAAAAATGTTTCCTGTGAAAAATGGAAACGCCTTAAACCCGGGCGGTGGGCGGACAAAAGGGAAAGTTCAAAGGGGTTAATAATGGGTTCTACTCTTTGTTCCCCCTATTTTCTTTTTGAATACCCCAAAAAAACTTTCGATTGAATGACATCAAAAGAAAGGGCATTCCCTTTTTTCCCCCTAGCCCATTAAATTTCTGGGCCTGTTAGATTGATGGCGGCGGGCCGGGCAAACTTTTTGTTCATGTCCTTTTTCCCTTTTATCTATATGTGGGATTTTTTCCCCAAAAAACCGTAAAAATTTAAACACAAAAAACCCCTTTTAGTTTATGGATTTCCCCTTTTTTTCTAAATTTTTACGAAAAAGCCAAAAAAACCCCTTTAATGGTTTTCCCGGGCAGACGCGGCGAAAAACAAAAAAATTCTTCTTCCAAAAAAATTTTTTAAAAAAGTTTTGGAAGACCCTAAAATTTTTAAAGTTTTATTTGTACGATCAAAAAAACTTTTCCCCACTGGTTTTTTCAAATTTCTTTAAAAAACAAACCTAAAAAACCCCTTTTAGAGGTCCTTTTCACAAGTTGTATTTCCCAAAGTGTCCTTAATTAGGAAAAATTTTGTCAAAATTTACTTTTGGGAATTTTTCAATAGATACAAACCTTTTGAAAGTTTTTTCCCGGGGTTTTGGTTTTTCAAAAATCTTTTTTTTAAAAAAACTTTTTCAAACATTTGCTCCTATATCACCTGGAAAGCAAAATTAATTTTTCTAAAGTGTTATATTAAAAAAAATTTTTATTTTTAACCCTTCAAAGGGTGCCTTTTATTTTAAAATATTAATTTATTTAAAATTTTTTAGTTTTTGGTTTTGGGTTTAAAAGGTATTTTTCAAACCCCTTCAAGAGGAAAGGGGGGATATTTCCCTTTTCATTTGTCGGTCCCTTTTCTCCGTCCGTCCGTTGACCAAAAGTTTCCAATTTTAACTAAAAACCTTAGGCCTAGGATTTTAAAAATTGGAAAGGGATTGTCATGAAAAGAGGATTAAACCCCATTAACTTGGGGCAAGGGTCCAAAAACTGGGCACCAAATTTACTTTTTTAGGAAAATGGTTTTTCCTCAAAAAAAAAATGCTTTAGTTATGAACTTTAAACTTTAAAGGTTATTGTCATGACCCCTTTCATACCCCTCTTATTTTGGGGTCAAGGGGTAAAAGGGTAAAGGTCCATTCCTTTTGGGTAAAAGGGTTTCCCGATCAAAAATAAGCGCTTGGGGCCTAGAACTTAAAAATTTGGGTAGGTTATTGTTCATGGAAGTAGAGCCCCCTATTGTTTTATTTTAAAAGGTCAAGGTCACATTGACATTGTAGGTAAAAATGGTTTCTGATCAATAACTTAAGAACGCTTAGGCCTAGGAACTTCAAACTTGGTTTGATGATTGGTGATGACCAGCAGATGAACCCTATTGATTTCTTGGTCAAGGGGACAAAGGTCAAGGTCACATTGACTTGAAGTTAAAAATAGTTTCCACTCTTTACCTAAAGGACGCTTAGGCCTAGGAACTTCAAACTTGGTATGATGACTGGTCATGACCAGTGGAGGACCCCTATTGATTTTTTAGGGTCAAAGGTCAAGGTCACATTGACATTGTAGGTGAAAACGGTTCCGATCAATAACTTCAAAACGCTTAGGCCTAGGAACTTCAAACTTGGTTTGATGATTGGTCATGACCAGCAGATGAACCCTATTGATTTTTTTAGGTTCAAAAGTCAAGGTCAGATTGACCTTGTCAGTAAAAAACGGGTTTCGAGATTAATTATTAAGAATGCTTAGGTCTGGGAACTTAAATTTTAGATGATTTCATACAGATACCTCTTTTATTTTGGGGTCAAAGGTAAAGTCACTTTCACCTTTAAAAAAACTTTTCCATCTAACAAAAGGCACTTAGGCCCAGGAATTAAATTTTAAAATATATTGGTATGACAGGTAAGGGACCCTATTGTTTTTGGGGTAAAGGGGTCGTTCAAATTATTTGTACTTAAAATGGTTTCTGACAAAAACTCAAAAGTCAATTCCTGGTTGATTTTTTTTATATTAAATAAAAGTTTTGGTATAAAATTTAAATCTTATTAATTACAATTTTGGCTGTTATTAATGGGCCTACTTTCATAAATTATATGCATTTTTATTTGGAAATTTGAATGCTTAAAAATTGCCACAACCTAGGGGGGTCAAATATTTTTACATTGTGATAGCATACAGTAGTAACCTTTTTTTTTGTTCACTGGGTCAGAAGTCATGCATAATAACCTGATCACATGACTAATTAGCTGCCCATAGGGAGCATACATATTTTACAAACATACCTTGTTAAGTTTTATATCAGGACAAATATTTCGGTTTAGATCGGAATATTCGTATCGAGGGAACTCGCCTATGGGCATGTTCCAGAAGAACGGATTATTCTAATCCGAACCGCAAACATATGTCAGATCTTTTTCTTACATATTCAACCATATACCATCGTATTCTAAATTATTTACCGTATTAAAACAACTTAAGGAAAACTATGCCATTACTACCATAACTATTTTCTTAAAACAGATATGAACTTGCAACTTCATTCATTACGGCGAAATTGTGTCATCCTAAGCACGTCATTTTATTGCACGCGACTCATTTTGCGCCCACATTCCAGCAAGGGAAAAACTAACGGAAATAGCAATCCGATATCATAATGCAAGAATAATCAATAATGTTGCTATAACAGTCTTGCAAGGCGGACAACTTGTTTGCAAGAATTAAAACGATAGAGACATTATATTCTTTCGATTTGTAAATAATAAAATTATTTTTGGAATCCCTATGAACGATAAATTAAGTTAAGAGAAAAATATGACACATACGTTTAGTTGTGTTCACTAAAAAGGTGTTTTCACAGATGTAAAATCCGACCAAACTATTATAACAATCTTCTGTTTCCCAATTCTCTTCGGTGTTGAAATACTCGAATGAGGTACGAGTACAATCCCCAGTTGAAGGATGCCTTCTTTTCCTGTCATGATAATGCTTTATAGCAGTTAAACATATAATTTTGTAAATCAAATAATGGGAAATATGATATAATACTGAAATAAATAATGGGCATGGTAATCAAAAAAGTTGCGTTCGTAAAATGTTATATCGTACTAAAGTAGTTTGCAGTAAGATTTCAAATAGTTCATATAGGTAGCTCATATAGTTAACACGTTTCTTTCATCATCTTTATTGCTGTATCTATATAATATATGCAGTGGAAGTTATAACAAATTGTGATATTTCACACAATTGAAGAGAAAACATAATTAAGCTTTCAATTACTAATTATTTATCCACTACATTAGTAGGGCTAGCTAAAAGTGCATCACCAGCTTTATCTATAACAGATACAATTATTTTTATTATTATGATATTTCACCGATTGCAAATTAAACATACCTTTTAACTGTTTAACACTGAAAAATAACATTTTCCTCTATCTAGGACATTGGCCGAAGTACGAGGGTTGTTCATAAAGTAGTAAGACTGCAGCTCTACTGTTCACACATTGTTTAATTCACGTACATAATTTTACAAGAAACAAATACCGGAACATGTTCTCTATATACAGTGAAAAAATCAATACAAATTGTTTACAAATAACAATTCTGTGAAATTTCAAATGACAAGGGGTACGACACCAGGCGCACGTTGACAATACAATAAATGACGTTTATGACGTCGTTAACTTAATACAAAATATAACAAGTGCATCAATCCTAAAAGTGCTCACCCTAGTGCTCTAGGTGTCTGAATTATGTGACCATGATCAGGTCTCATATGTGGAGATTAAGCGAGAAAAACAGCGATCACAATTTCGTTCAACTCTCAAAGAAAAATGGCCAATAGCCAGTCATTTTCCACTTTTCTCAAACAATTTGAGAAAACTGGGAATTCAACAAGAATGGACTTATAATGCTTATGCAAAAGCAATTTGTATTTATAATTTTCACATATTTTCACATGTATGTCATCGTACGTTTTTTAAACAAATGATTATATACAGTAAAATAACAATATCTATCGAGTGAAAAGTACCAATTATTAAAACTAAATTGGGGAAAAATACTACTTATCAATGTAGTTAATCATTATTATATTAGTTAATTAAAACCTTGTATATCTAATGAGTAACAGTAAAAAAATGTTTGATAGAAACGTCTTATATACACAATCCTTTGGTGAGAACTGTGTAAGTAGACCCGAAACATACATATAACGTACCGGACAGTCCGCGTACCGTTTACCGTCGATCCATTTTCAGCGCTTTTGCAATTGACGTCACAAACGTCCCGTCAATTTTCCGCTTTTATCCTCACACTTTCTTGTTAGAGATTTTGTATTCGCCGTTTTTAAATTGATTGTACCAGTACATGTAATCACACGAATTTCTGTTTGTTACCGAGCGCCATATTTCTACATTTAACGCAATGACCACATCTGTTCAAAACTAAATAATTATGCCATTTCATGCCCGAATGACGTCCAAATTTAGATATGATGTAACTTAAATATACATAAATGTGTTGGCGGAATATTCGGACAAACGGAGTATTAAATATGAACAACTTAGAAGTACAACTTAGCTACAATAACTGTTTTGATGTGCTGCGCCGGGTGCGTGTTACCATGGATATTCAATTTTTGTTGTTTTTTTTTTGTGTTGGATATTCAATATCACAGGAAATGGCGTGCATCAAAATAAACAAATAAACTTATGCATAATTTGTAGAAAACATTTAACGATCCCTATACATATGAAAATATTCTAAATTGGATATGCAAGACTCTCAGGCCTATAACTTTTTGAACAACCCTCGTATACTGACGATTCAGATAGAACGAAAAATGGTAAGGAGATGGTTTCTTAAACAATTTAAACATCCAAAATTCTGTAATTCATATTTTGATTTTTCTTGTATATAGGCAACCAGTATTACATAACAAGTTAATAAATGAAGTCACTAAACCTGTCTGTAATTAAATTTTATTGAGTATTAGCAGCTGATCTTTTTTTTATTAGATACATAAAACTATGACAAAATATTACCATTCGCTGAAGGTTACGTTATTGTTATTTATCCATATGAAATTCATTCTCATTTGTCTGTCCTTTACACGCCTTAAACCTTAAAAAGGCGAAACAGTATTATACAGATGTAAAAATATGATATTTCTTATTTAAAGTCCCAAGACGTTTATGTTCTATATTGAAAGTATATAGTTGACTTGACTGCGAAAATTAACCGTTATGAAGTAGCTTGAGAGGCTTTACTAGTAAGGTTCGGGGTTAAAATTAGATTGATTTTTTCGAGTCCGTGAGCATTTTTATATTTTACGTAATTCACCTACAATAAATACGTGTAGGGGCTTTAAATATTTCAATCTATCTAACACTACTATATTATTTTCAAATCAACGTAATTTATAAAACTTGTTTTTATATGTTGTAGCACATTTAGTCATATACATAAGGTTACAGTATGGATAGTGAGGATAACGAAATTGGCCGATTCTATTAAACATCCTGATATTATGTCACTTAAACATTGAGAAAAAATGTACTTTTACGTTCAACCAATTCATATTTTGTTTGCAAGTTAACAATAGTAAATGTGTTAAGAAAACTCAAACAGGAACTTGTATGTCACAGTCCACCAACGCTGACATAACGTTTTTGAAAACAGCAGAGCATTACAAAATTTATGTATAACATAATAGATATTTGAAATAGGTTTGAATAGGATATCACTCAAACGAACGAACACAAACACACTCACACGCACGCACGCACACACACACACCAACACACACACCATCACACACACACACACACACAGTTGAAAAGGAAAATAAATAGATTATTATGCACATAACAGCACGTTTAAGTTAAGAAGTTACCAATGTGTGCTCCATGAAGTTTTCGTTCATCAGTGCCTTCTTTTTGCATATACAACACACTTCGAAGTAAGTATTGGACGTAATTCATTTCTTTTTTCGATGCAATAGTCACAAGATGTTTATTGTCATCATTAAGACATTTAGTTTGTGCAGTATCCCAGGATACCTTTTCATATGATACTGTGTAGCATTTTCGGAAAAACCATGAACAATATTCTTTTTGGGGAAAAAACATGTTTCATTAAACATAATTTGTTGTTTATAAAACGAACTGTTATGCGATATCTAAAAACAGTATTTTTCTTCACTGTTATACGAATGACAGTGTTGAATGATTTTGTAAAGACATATGGAAAAAATGCACTATTAGAATGATAAGTGAGGTTTCAAGTGAAAACTTTAATCACTTTGATCTCTTTTTAAATTTTAACTATGCTTTGAACCGCGAAAATAATGAAGTTCCTTCATTTCAAATATTTGCCTTGTACATATATATCTGTCATCAAAAATGTAAGAAGTGTTCGGTTAAAAAGTGATAATTAACCATTTTTGTGTCGCCTCTACGGAGAAGTGGCGACATATAGGGATCACTTCTCCGTCGTCTGTCTGTCCGTCTGTCTGTATGTCTGGCTGTCTGTCTGTCCGTCTGTCCGTCCGTCCGTCACAAAACTTGTCCGGACTAATCCTCATAGACTACTGGTGCAATTTCATCCAAACTTTACAGGAATGTTCAGTACCAAATCTTGTTGTGCAAATTGTCAGCATTTTCCGGTTCAATGATTTTTGTCAGAGTTATAGCCCTTTTATAATTTTTAATTTTAAAGTTTGTCCGGAAAACTTCTCTTATACCACTAATGCAATTTCAATGAAACTTTACAGGATTGATCTGTAGCTCAAGTCCTTGCGCATATTGCACGGGTTTTCCGGTTAAATGATTTTTGGCCGAGTTATGGCCCTTTGATAAAAAGATGTTTTTTTCTATGTGTTGCCAGATACACAAAAGCTTGTCCGGACTACTCCTCATAAACTACTGGTGCAATTTCATCCAAACTTTACAGGAATGATAAGTACCAAGTCTAGTTGTGCATATTGTCAGCATTTTCCGGTTCAATGCTTTTTGTCAGAGTTATGACCCTTTAATAATTTTTATTTTTAAAGTTTGTCCGGACTACTTCTCTTATACCACTAATGCAATTTCAATGAAACTTTTCAGGATTGATCTGTAGCTCAAGTCTGCGCATATTGCACGGGTTTTCCGGTGGAATGATATTTGGCCGAGGTATGGCCCTTTGATAAAAAGGTGTTTTTTTCTGTGTGTTGCCAGATACGCAAAAGCTTGCCCAGTCTACTCCTCATAAACTACTGGTGCAATTTTATCCAAACTTTACAGGAATGATCAGTACCAAGTCTAGTTGTGCACTGTCCGTCAGTCTGTCCGTCTGTCACAAAATTTGTCCCAACATGAAATTGGCCATCATGAGGCGACACATGTGATAACTGATCGCTCTTGTTTCGTATAAATTCAACAATACCCTCTTTATTTAAGTATATATTTGTTTTAACTAACATACCTAATACAGAAATATAACCATACTTGGTAGTAGTATATCTTTGAAGAGCATGATTCGACATTTTATAATGTAACCTAAATCCTTTATATTGTATAGTCGGAATCTCAATATGTATCTTAGACCCTTTTGATCTGTATTTCTCTGGTTGAATACAACTTGTTTCTATCTCACCATCAACATCCTTGATGACGAGTCTTGATTTATCTACAACAATCAGAACATATTAAACCATGCTTTGTAACACAGGAATAATTACTAAGAAATTTTCACAATATTTGAAAGGAATGACTAGTGCTGTAAAAGGCAAAACCTATTATGCAATTATTCAAATGAAAAATAAGGTTTTCGCTGGCTTTATTGAAAAATCTACTTTTTTCAGCATACGGTTTATTTATTGAGACAAATAGTAGTGTTCAGCCTGTTTTCCGTGTATTACAACTGTTTACCTCATTTGTATTAGATTTCAATATCAATGAACACAGTCGCTAAAGTGTAATAAGTATTATATCTATCAATATCCTTGAGAAAGATCATACTTAGATTTGAATTAGAGTAAACGCTATTTGTCGATGGTTTAAAACTTTAAGGTATCGTTAACTAGATGGATGTATCCAATAAAAGGAATGATCCGTGTCATTCTGACCAATCAGCTTTGATTTTACACCTTGGAAAATCAACGGTAGATGACTGAAGATCCACTGCAACGTGTAGGATTTTATGTTCGCATACTTTCTACAGTTCGATTTTAGATATAAGGGGGCCTGAATAAGTCTGCATGAAGTTGACTGCGGGTGGTCTCATTTAAGACAAGGAAAGTGGCTTGAAAAAGAAAACGAAGAAAGTGAGCTAGCGAACCCGAGCCCCTAACAAAAAATGTGTCGACTTTGAGTGCGATCCCATTTCTTGTTAATCAGCCCTTCTCAACATTACATCTTTTTTATATTTTTTCAGTTGTCTGGAGACACCATCCAAGGTTGCCACAGGTGGTACACACACTTTTTTCAGGTGGTCTTGAAATAAAAATAAAATTGAATGTGGTTTATTGACGGAATCACACTTGAAAGTTGTCAGGAGACGGAGACACACTTCAGGGTAGTTTGGAGACGTAAACACAATTGCCAATGGATTAAAGATTAAAGGTAGTCTGGAGACGGAGATAAAAATGAAGGTCGTCTTCAGGCGGAAACACATTTGAAGGTGGTCTGGAAACGGGAACACAATTTAAGGCGGTCTGGAGACGAAAACACAATTGAAGGAAGGTGGTCTGTTGACGGAGGAACTGTTCAAGGCGGTATGAAAATGTAATCACAACTGAAGGTGGTCCTAGAAAGGAGAAAAAATACAGGATTGCAGTGAGACGGAGACACAGATTAAAGTTGCCTTAAGACGGAAACGCAATTGAAGGTGTTTTGAAACAAAACACTAATTGAGATGGTCAGGAGACGACAACACAATTGAAGGTGGTCTAGAAACGGAAACACAATTGATGTAGGTCTGGAGACGAAGCCACAATTCAAGTTGGTCTGGAAACGGAAGCACAAATGAAAGTTGTTAGGAGACGGACACACAATTGAAGGTGGTCTGGAGACGAAGACACAATTAACGGTCGTCTAGAGACGGTGACACAATTCAAGGCGGTCAAGTAACGAAGAAACAATTCAGGGTGGTTTGGAAACGAAAACATAATTGATGGTCTAGAAACATAAACACAGTTGAAGGTTGTTTAGAAAAGGAGGCACAATTCAAGTAAGTCGGGAAACAGAAACACAAATGAAGGTGGTCAGGGGACGGAAAGACAATTCAAGATGGTGTTGAGACGGAAACGCAATTGAAGGTGGTCTATATACGGAAACAAAATTGAAGACGGAGCTACAGTTAAAAGTGGTATTGCAACCAAGTCACAGTTGAATTGGTCTGGTAACGGAAACACAATTTAAAATGGTATGGAAACGGAATCGCTTCTGGACGTGGTCAGGCGACGAAGACAAAATTTAAGGTGATCTGAAGCACATTTCAAGTTGGTCCGGAGACGGAAACACGATTGAAGGTGGTATGTAAACGGAGGCACTATTAGAGGTGGTCAGGAGACGGAAAGACAATTCATGGCGTTTGGAGATAGAAAGAAGTGAAGAAGGTCTGGAAACGGAAACACAACGGTGGTGGTATGGACACGAAGACATAATAAAAGTAAGTATGGAAACGGAAACACAATTGAAGGTGGTCAGGGGACAGAGAACCAATTCTATGTGGTCTTGAGACGGAAACGGAGACGGAGAAACAATACAATTAAAGGCGGTCAGTAGACGAAACAATTGAAGGTAGATTTGAAACAGAAACACACTTCCAGGCGATCTGTTGACGGAAACACAATTGATATTGGTCTGGAGACGAAGACACAATTGAAAATGACTAGGAGACATAGACATAATTCAAGTTAATCTGGAGACGAAAAACGCAATTGAATGGGGTATGGAGACGGAAACACAATTTAAGTTGGAACCTTAAATCCTACCGAACTGCATGCTGGCACGACATTTAGCAGGAAATTCAGCAGGACATAGGAATTTGACCGACAATCCTGCTGGAACGACATTTGGCAGGACTATCAGGAGGGCATCGAAATTTTAGCAATATTCTGCAGGCAGGACCTTTGGCTGGACATACAGAAGAAAATTGAATTCTTTCGAAATCCCCTGCCAGCTCAACATTCGGTAATTTCTGAAATGTTCTATTGAATATCCTGCCAAATGTCGTGTCAGCAGGCGTTTTTGCAAAGTTTCAATGTCCTTTTTTGTCCTGCCTAATGTTGTGCCAGAAAGGAAGTCGATGATACATTTAGTAAATTTCAATTCTTTGTTGTATTTATTATTATCTTAATCCGTGCTAAAGCCATACACTTTTCACAAAGATACAGCTTCGTAAAACTTGTTGTTATACAGGTTTTCGATAAAACACTTAGAATGTTTATCTCTTGAATGCAACTAACGCTAGTGGTGTTAAAGCAAAAACATTATTTAAGTTGCCTTCCAACAAAAATGCATCATTACAAAATCAGTAAAACCGTAACTTTAGTGTTCAGCTATCGATGGATCTTAACTTGTACAGTGTCTTTATTCTGGTTGGCTCACTTATGATAACTTTCATATTATAAACTTCATGATGCAAATAACTTGAAAGATTTGTCGAACTGTCACTTAGTGCTCCGTCAAAAATCATCCAATCGAGCTAAAGAGCGTCGTAGTGCCTGAATATATGACAAACAATTTTGGGAAAGAAGGTTTACCTTTGGCTAAGTTAAAATAGTTCCTTTAAGTAGCGTTACTTTGAACAAAAGAAAAAAAAGGATAGATTAGACTAGAACATAACAAAAGATTTTCATTAACTCATTGAATGACCTCATTTGAACCGACTTGAAAGAAGGAAATGAATAAGATTTAAGTATAAAAAGGAAGCAACACACACACATATATTTGTTGAAATATAATATTATATCGATCGAACCCAAACCTGGTCATCTGTCGATATTTCCAGATGTAGAAATTATTCACCTTAAATACCTTAATGCATGATGTATTCGTATCATTTGTTTCATTTAGAAGGCTCGTAACTAAGAAATTAATATTTTATTAAAATTTTACAGCCAGAGGCATCCGCTCATTTCATTGAAATATGTTAAATAAATATCTGACATGTATGATTTTCAGGTGGTCATCATAACCATTACATTACATTACACAAGTAATCCATAAAAATAGCATTATATAAGCCCTAATTTATAATTCATAGAATAAAAATATATCTGAAGTTGGTAGGATTTGAATATACTTACCATCGTAACAATTTCTGCTCCAATATATGAAAGTAATATCAATGCTTTGATGTTTCCTGGCTTTAATTGTGAACTCTTCTTCACAATCTTGGCACAAATTTAAAGCCATAAGAGTTGTTAGGATCATGGTTGGCTCAGTGCAAATTTCACTTCGTCTTTTCGTTCTTTTTAAATGACTAAGTGAATCGATTGAAAGACAAGCTGCCGTTTCTTGAAGGAAATATCAATGCCATTTAGTCTTTGTGACAATATATTACAGCAATTACACAATATAACACTCGCATAATGAACTGTTTATAATTAAATGTATAAAATTAGAACAAACTTCGAATTTGTAAGAATTGTATCTTGAGTGCAATAAGTTTACTGTACGGAAGGTTATCTATACTTATATTTGAAAAAGGTAACAAATACATATAAAGATCAAAACAAAATAAACATTGTTAGCATGTGATAGTTTGCAAGGTTTTCTTACCTTTTTGTACTTTGTGTAAAAACAAATTGAAAAACTTAATTTTCATTAGATTTGAATTTCTTTGTTAACTTCAAATATGCATTATTGACTCATATAAAGGAGTTTGGTGAATATTTGCAGAAAAACTACTGAAATGATAATAAATATGAAACTGAGTACATGTGTTTCAGTAATATTCCCTCAACACTATCCGTTTCACTGCTCTATAACTTTCAAAATTTGTTCAAGTTACCCATTCATTTGCTGTTTCGTCACTTTAAACCTTTGTTTTAAAGTCATTTACCATACATACTTTAAACTGACTATCACACACTTTTCAAACAAAGTAAGTTGTTATATTAGAAATTATATGTGTAATATAAATAAATGTCAATCAAGGTGTGTGCCCATAGATATAATGCGAAACGTATGCATGATGCATGCTTTCTCGATGGCATGCCTTGTACCACGGGGTAGGATCTGCTACATGAATAATGGAGTTCTAATGATAACTTTTCTGGAGTTCTTATGATAACTGTCACGGAGCTCCTGGAAAACGTTACGAATTTCGTTGGAAAACCTTATTTTATGCTGGAGAAACACACGTGAAATATAGTCATTTTTATCCTTAAATTCGGAGTTTTAGGTGCTAAATTAAACTTTAATGATTATGCTTGCCTTACCAATTGTATAATGTGTCAGAAAAAAACAACATCATAGTACATTTTTAATCGCCTCCTGTATAAAATCTAGAAGTTTTGAATATTTGTTCCAAATTACTTGCTCATTTGTACATATATATTTTGAATTATAAAACATGAAGAATAAACCTTTCAAGACGTGTTATAACATAAACAGAGCAAGTGTGTTATGTTGAATTTCAATCAAAATCGAATTGAAATATTTAATGTTATATAATTAATAATAATGTATACCTTCAGCAGTTATGATTGCCCGGAATTTTATTGATGGTGGCCATACCCTTGTTAGAGTAGTTGTTAAAAACAACAAGCTTGTGTCTGTTTCTATTACAAATACTTCGGCGTTGAAGTTCTCATCAATGATAAATTCAGTGTTGTCCTTTTGTGATGTTTTAACAACGAGTGCACTCTGCTCGAATATACAATATTATAAAAAAGATTCTTGAACAAAGTTAGTACATTTACAATCACAAGAGAAATATTAGATAAAATATATTAAATATTATTAAGATAAATTAGAGTTGGAAAGTATCAGATTCAAATAAACGCATGCATATTTTTCCTGTTCTCAATATTATCTTTTCAACTTCTTTAGACTAACATAAAGAAAAAATAGACTAGATATTTCGTAAAAATAAATTTTCAAAAACTCCTATTGGCTGAGTACTAGGACTACTGATGACCACACTAGTCCGTAAACAAAAGTTTTCTCATCAAAATATGCGTAAAAAATTCAATAAATTAGATTCAGTGTGTCAGTGAAATA